GGATGGAGGAAGCGCCCACCAGCACACCAAGATATTCTGGATGTGTTTCCAGGATCTTACATTGTAGCAGGGCAAGTAAACATGATCACCAGCTTTTCTTTTATTTGCTCAGGGATCAGGAAGAAAGGAAGACTTAGTATTTTGGATTGGTATTGACATGATTGGATAGGGATTTGGTACCCAATTCTTAAAGTTTTAGTATTTCTGTAAGTCAGAAAATATGGAAACTTGCAGAATCTGTGACATCAATATGAAAATTGCGCAGATTTTGAATTTCAGCATGGAAGCAAAACTTAACACATAATTGAGGCAAAAAAGTATTTGATTCCTTTTCCTTCCCTTGCATTCAGCACTAATCTAAACAGAACCTAATGGCTTGGCTCTTGGATGGGCATGTCACGAAGGCAACCACCCCACTCCTGAATGCAAGCATCCTTTGTTCACATGCAAACTTCCTTGAGCCCTTATAAGCTTTCAACCACTAGCAGCTAAAGGCACAACCACCAATTTAGGGTAAAAGGAGCACATCATCCATCTCCCTTAAACTAAAAGATTAATACCTGACAAATTAACCTTCCCATCATGCACCAGAAATCTTGGAAAACACATGGGGCAATAAGTAGGAATATCAACTAGTTGGGTTCAGTATGGGTCTGACTCAATCCAACCCTGCTCCAAAGTCACCTGCTATTGAACCTGGGCCGCCTCGGCTTAATGCAATGGAATTACTAAACCCACCCCAACCCCATACCAATACCAATCTGCTCTACCTCGTGAACGGCACCTTGTTCTTGGTGAAGGTTATTGGTATATATTTAAAGATTTTCAATGTCACTATGTCACCAGCCACATGACCCTGTATGTACATGGTTACAATAACCCAATGGGTTGGAACTAGCAAAACCCAAAACCAACGCAGGTTATACTCATGTAACCCAATCCTGATTTGATAGGGTTGGATCAAGGTAGCTTTACAGTTCAAACCAAACAGTTGACATCCCTAGCAATAACATTTATGTTTCTCCAACACGATTTTGCACTCACTTCAAGAGAGGAGATGCATACCTGAGAATTGATTATTTTCTGTCTCTGCAACTCTTCAACAAGATTTCCAATGCTGACATTAAAAATAACTTTCAGTTGAACATGGAATATCAACAAAAACATGCTAGAAATAAAAACCATATACCACATCTCATACCTTTGCTGGAGACTAATCACTTGAGATTGTAGTTCTTTTTCTCTAGCAGAAGCTGAAGATATCTGTATATTGTGAAAGATAATGAAAAAAGGTACAAATAAGCTACCAACAGCTATAATCTGAATAAAGTCGATCATGTTCTGTTATTTTTCTCTTTTCCCTTCTTTTTCTAGATAATTTGAAGCTGGCATACTTCAATCTTTTCTCAATAAGATATCCTCAAAGTTCAAATTATACTGAACTGTTCAAGCAATCTACCATCTCAATCTTAATTTTATTTTCATTATGACAATAGCTGATGAAAAGAAGGAATAATAGACCTATATTTAAATGATACGGATAAGAATTAGACCTATATTTTTAAAACAAAATACCAGGATATTTCAAATTTCTATTTCTTGCCCCTCCAACTCCCCCAAACCCAGTATATTTCAAAAACCTGCTGTGTTGAACACCCAGGAGAATCATATATAGCTATACTAATCAAGAAGTATACAGCTAAGAGAAGAAAAACAGTCCAAAAGAATGAGAGGACTGATTTAAAAAGTATGAAAAAGGGCAGATATCAGCAGCAAAGAGAGAAGAAGTCAGCTATAATAGGGTTTTGGGAGATGAGCTGTTCGAACCTCCCTCCCTTCCCTAATCTTTTCGTTTAAAAAATAATTACAAAGTTTCGAAGTTTCGGGTGGCCTTTGAACTACTTAGGGTTGCCATTAGGTGATAATCCCATGCGAGAGAGCTTTTGGAACCCGGTGGTGGAAAGGTTTGAAAAAAGACDGGTATCCTGGAAAAAGAACTACCTCTCTCTCAGTGGGAGAATTACACTAATTAAGGCCACGCTTGCTAACTTACCCATCTTTTTCCTATC